GTCCACAACTGCCTGGACGTGGCGTCTTTCGCAGGGGCCTACGGGATGGCTGACTTGATGGAGCTGGCTGAGGATTTTGTTCTCAGAAACTTCCAAGAAATATCTGCCACCCCTAAGTTTCAGGACCTTCCGGCCGAGAAGCTTCTGCAGTTCCTCCGATGCGACGCGCTGTCCATTCCTTCAGAGCTGGCTGTTTTCCGAGCGGTCGTCACTTGGGTGGAAGCGGATCCCACCGAACGGCTCCCGCAGGCCGAAGAGCTCATGCGAGCGGTGCGTTTTCCATTCATGACCTTCCGAGAATTTCGAGAGGTTCGCGCTGTGAACCTGAGCATGGAATGCAGTGGAGACATCGAGGTTGAACTCTACAAATCAGCGCTGAAGGAGTTTGGATTTGGCATCTCTGACTGCGTGGCAAGGAAACGTGTACATCACCCCAAAGACGCCCTGGTTTTGGTCGGAGGTGATGAGCTGCATCCAGACATGGGTAATCGGCTTCCCAGCAAGCAGCTCTGGTTTGCCAACTCTCTGAGAAGCGGAACAGGCCTCGTGAAGGAGATTGAGTGGAGATTGCTGGGAGAAATGCCAGATCAAGCCAGATTTAGACACGGCGTTGGGGTCCTCGACGGTCAGCTATATGTAGCTGGAGGCTGCCACTTCTATGCAAAGACTGACACAATGAAATCTGTTTACAGGTAAGGGCCAAGAATTCAGAAGTGCACTCTTGTGGCATGTTGTCCTTGTCTATTGACACAAGCTCATTAATAAATTAGTTATACAAGTTAGCGAGTAGCAAATCATGGTTTTTCAAGGCTGTAATGTGAAAATGCTGCCAATCAATAAACAAAACAGCCTGGAAAGTAACTTTTTTTTGTTCTGACAAAAAAATTTAAAAAATGAGATCCACATGCAATATTCATACATGGTTTACGAGGTATACTATATATTCATGACTGAAAAGTAAATGTAATTAGTTTTGATTAGTATTTTGAATGATTTTCTTTTTTATATTTTTAATTTTAGCTACAATTTTAGTAAATTTTGTGGGGGGGGGGGGGACATTTTTATAAGTTAAAATATAGTATTTTACAGTCAAGTATAGTCAACATTGCATATAGTCAATGGTTAAATATTATAAAGAAAAAAAACAGAACAATTTCATAGAGACATCAGTAGTTCTGGTATCAATGATACTTGCCTTCAGTCATAAAAAATTGTCATCAATCAGATATTAAAATATACTTTTTATATTGTTTCTACATTAATTTGAAGATTGAATTATTGCAATATAAAAGTATATTTAAAAACGTAATGTTAGGTGGGATTTAATCACGATTAATTTCAGAAAAAATGGCGATTCGTTTTTTTTTTAATTGACGGCACTAAACTAAATTTTTCCGTGTCAACCTTTATTTGTAACATTTTTCTTTCACCTGTTTTCACTGTTCTTTTTCTCTAACAACACCCGCACATCTACATCAACAGGTACGACCCTGAGCGGGACCACTGGAAAAGGCTGGCAGATCTTCATGAACTGAGGAGTAACTTTACGCTGGTGGTGAGTGGAGACGGCCTGTATGCTGTCGGAGGAGACAAAGACATCAACACAAATCTTGACAGTGTAGAAAAATACTCACCAGAAACAGATTCCTGGAGGTAAGAGGTGAATCTAAAAAAAAATAATAATTATAATAATTGCCTGCCTGCCTGTTTATTGGGAAAATGTAAAAGCAATGCAAAGAATGAATGAACTGACTGACACCTAGTGGCTCTTAGAAGCACAACAACATACCTTTAAGTAAATGATGCTCTTTAGAGAGTCATCTGATTGTCTGTTTGGAGATAAAAAATGTTGCTCTTCCACCTCAGTCTCATTAGTTTCTCCTAAAATTGTTGGGGAGAAATAAAACATAGACACAAGCAGAGCTATTAAATATGGACTTTTCTATCCTGTGGATCAGCTTCTGCCATCCTTTGGACCAAGCCTTGAGTGGTCAAGCTGCCGCCGTCTGGGGAGGCGAGATCTTCATCTCAGGAGGCTTCAACTGCAAGTACGAATGCCTGGTGTCCATGTTCCTCTACCACCCAAAGAGAGGAACCACGTACCTCGCTGAGATGACCCACGACCGGGCCCAGCACTGCATGGAGAGCTTGAAAAACCGCTTCTACGTAGCTGGCGGAGTGTGCAACCTCCGAAAGTACTACACCGACCAACTGGTCTGCGAGATGTACAACCCTGTCCGCGACACCTGGACGGTGTTCACTCCTCTCCCCATTCCCCATGTCGGCGCGGCCTCTGCTGTCCTGGAGGAGAGGCTGTACATTCTAGGTGGTTATTGCCAGGAGGACTACAGCGAGGCCAGACTCACTCATCGCTATGACCCTGTGACTCAGAGATGGGAGAGCATGGGAAAGATGCCCGGTCCCGTCACAGATATACGTGCATGCCTCCTTCATCTGCCTGAACACATTAGAAAATGAGAACAAGATGAGCACATGTTTGCCAGCTTTATTTGTAGAACTTTAAAAAAAATCTAGTGAGATGCCTTGCTGTCTACATAGGGAGCTGCCTTGTAAGAGACCATCTATAAACTCATAAGGAATTCTGCATAAGCAGCAAGTCTGAGTGTCATAAATAACGCTCCTTGATGTTCCATTTTAATTAGAACTATGCCATTGCTACATATTAGTATGTTTATATTTATAGTTGACATTTCTTTTGTCAGCTGTCTTGTGTTTGTTTTCCACACAGCTTGTGGTGATACCTAATGATTTTCTGATATTAAACATAAAATATTCAAATATAAAAATGTATTCAACTGTAAAATACTGGGCTATTTTAGAGTATATTTAATGGTTGACAATATTTTTACACTTCGTCTACAAGCATATATTACTTAATATGTATTTTATGTATTTAAGAATCAAATAATGTTGGTGCCCTGTCAAGACTATAATGGCGCCATCTTGGATGTGTCTAACAAACTGCACAGCCTGGGGTTCTGAACCAGTATTATAATATTAACAGATAAATCCTTGTCTGACACGGGGGATTTCCCGGCTCTCGCAAATTTATTTTGCAATATTTCATGTTTTCATGATTTTTAACTAGCTACAGCCGTTTCGCTAATGAATCACTCAGCTCAATTTAAAGGGGCCATATGATGCGATTTCAAGTTTTCCTCTCTCTTTGGAGTGTTACA